AAATGCATGCGCGTACCAGTGCAAGATCTGTGTTGCTTCTTAAACCTCGAGTTTGATTGTCTGATTTATTTCACCCTATTTTTCAAATTTCGTTTATCAATGAAAAGCGACTGTAATTTTATTATTCTGATTTATCGAAACAAGTTAAAGCTCAAATTTGATTTTAACGATTCGCAAGTAACCCAACACCTCCTAAAGAACTCTATCTCACCGTCCGTGGCAAAAACGAGAAAACTCGTAGCTTTTGAATTCTGAAAAATCAGAGCAGAATTTCGCAGTTCACTGTGGACCGTGGAATGGAACTCTGTGGGCACCCCTTAATCAGTTGCGGACGCGACAGCTCCAGCTCCAAGAGTTGTAAAAACCAAGACGGCAGATATAATTGCTACACTGACAAAATTACGATGTGGGATTTTCGGCGATCGATGTGCCTAAATTTCTTTGGTAGCTAGCACACTTTTTCGTCCTCTCCCTTCTTAAATTCTCGAGCTCGAGTAATAAACTACCATAGATGAAGTGTAAGCAAATCAACATGACACAAAATACTGCGCAATATTACAAAAAAGGAGCATGGACACATCTCAATTCATGCTAAACTGAAGTTTGAAATCTCACTTCCAGTTTCGCAGATTTTTTTAGAAGATCCGCCTCATCTTTTTCAGATTTATCAGTCTCCTGTGGCAACTCGACGTCCTGTGTCTATAAAAACGAAAACATCAATGAGCAAACTATAATGTGAACATCAATCGAATGCTGTAGGAACAGCACTGCAATTTAAAGTGCAATTCAAAACAATGTGGTCCACACGAATTTTCAGAAAAGCTAAAAGCTGACTACACATCTGCGTGGCAAATTCTAGACTTTAAGGTCGGAACAATCAATTTCACCACTCCAACATTTTCGAGCTGCGCGCTTTAGGAAGCGACACGTTAAAAAAATTAGAGAATCCGCAGTACCTGGTTAACATTAGTTCTGCCAGGACGGGGATCGAAGGCTGGAATCAAAGCCGGAAGCCGAGATTTCAATATAAATTCATCATCCCACTTGCGACTCGCAGCTCCCCCTTTATCGCCTCCACTGTGTTTATCAGAAGGAGTCGGCGTATGAAAACGCGAATGATCTCTCAATAATCTGTTTGACTCATCCATTGCAATCTAAAACAAATGCAGCACGATAAGCAACTCAGAAGTACCAATTCACAGTGAATGAATTCTGCATTTCCATCCAGCTCGATGCAAGTAAGAGAAAAACAGCACAACAGTAAGTGGAAAAAAGTCTACCTGCTTCCAATTAACCTTAAATTCGCCAGGTACTGTACTCACTGAAGCGCCACTGCCCGACTGCTCACGAAGAGCTGCTGCTGTTTCTGCCAGTACACCATTTGCAAACTCCTCGCCACAGTCATCCTCGTTTGCTTCATCTTGCACTTCATCATCAAACGACTCATCCTGAATCCAACACTATACCATACTACCAAACAGCCATCAGCCATGACAAACATCAGGTAGAGGAACTTTGCAAACACCTTGCTAAGTTGTTAAGCCACGAATTCCTGATTTTTTTTTCAATTTCGCATTATTCTGGGGATAAAATGAGAATAGCAAACAAAAGCTTACATCAATTTCAGCCAGCTCTAGATTGTTCAAAGAACCTCCAGGTTCAATTATTTGTTGCATTATAACGTTACGCAAAGCATCCGTGCAACTGCCAAATCGAGAACGCAGCCCCACACCGTTGGCCGACGCGCTTCGTCGAGAACCTCAAAATAATCTATTTGCGATGCCCTGACTGCCGCAACTCCGTTGACGCCTTTTTTATTCAATACGTCTTGTCAGGCATAGCTCTCTGTTGCATATTAAAACCGTGCACAGCATCTAAGTTATGCCATGTGACGCAAATATTCGAGCTAGCACTTTTTTAACCGAAAAGAGTACCCATTAATCCCGTCTCCACCACCAACTACACAAGTGATCGTTGGAGAAAAATAAGCGTGCTGACTTATACAACTTGGCCGAAGCGCCTTCAAAGACAACAACCCGCACAACTACTCTTTAAAAACTTCTCTAGAAGACTACTTGTCACTTGCAGTCATCGAGACTCATTCCAAGCACTTTTAACACTAGTTTTTTGTTATGCTTTTTTCCGTAACTTAACCTTTCAAAAACTGTCACAATGCTCTATCAACTTTCCAAATACCTTTCAAAAATGTTTATGATATTCCAGATTTTCTAAAAAGTTTGAGATATTCCGATTTTTGCACTGTTCCCCGCAGGATTTTTTTTTCACTAACAGTACTATTTTTTCCGGCAGATACTCCCAGCTAAAAGAATTAAGACTGGCCGTCAGGACTGCCGGGAAACACCCCTTTAAAATTTCAGCTTTCTAGTTTTTTCGGCTCCGGAGTTAGCAACTTGCCCGCCAAAAATTTTCACGGGCCGGTACGTGGGAACCATGTGCATCTGGGGGCTGGGTTTGAACTCATTAAGTCCTATGTGAAAGGAAAAACAGCGTCAAAATTTCTGCAGAAAATTTTTACGAACCCGTATGTGGGAATCACGTGCGAGTGTTCACTTTGGTAACACAGACCCGTACATACATATAAAGTTCGCAGTTTCAGCCCTGTAGTTTTCATAGGTCTCAAGATGAAAAGCAGGTAGAGACGCACACGCAGACAACCCGTCGACAATATGCGCTTTTGCATGGCACAGGTGCAAAAAATGCATAGTAAAAAGCAAGTAAGCTTACCGGACTGGTTTCTACTTGAAATGAATGCCTGTGGAATTAAAAATGCGGACGCTCGGTTTTCAGAAGCACTTTCAAATGCTGAAATCCCATCAACTGGTACACCATCCGTCGTAGAAGGAACGGCGGAAGTGGCTGCTTCATCGGCATCATCTAAAACTATTTCTCTGAGTAACGTGAAAGGCAATGTCACGTAAGATTTCAAGCAAGCCATTTAGAAATGGTAAATTCAATCCCACACACTTTTTGGACGAATTTTGAAGTCCACTCAGAAAAGCACAATTGGCTACATACAAACGTCCGATAAGTTTGGAAAAGCACGAAGAGAGGACGGTGCGAAATAGTAGTACGACTCCTCGTCCCCCAAATGTTTTCCTTCAAAACATTTGAAAATTTGGGTAAAAGTATCAAGTAAATCAGGCGGTGTTTCTAAAAACTCGTAAGTTTGACGACTGGACGAGAAATGTGGCAGACAGGCCATTTTGCAGCAAGTAAACCGGGATGGCAGAAAACATGGAGGAACTGACACTGTCGTAACTCGACACGCTCTAGCAGGGGCGATGACGACAAACACACACACACACACACACACACACACACACACACACACACACACACACACACACACACAC